GCAACTCACTCTTTTGTGAAGAATAAAAACCCATATCCTGTATTTAGGAAGAGGAGGCCACAAATAGTCTTCTCTGCCTGAAGAAGATTCATCTATAAAAATGGGGACATCTCCTTCTATGAGAACTGAGCTTATTTTTGAAGAGAAGATAAAGGGTGTGAAAGAAGAAAATTGAATTAATTTTCCTGGAGGATAACTACAATCAATAACACCAGGCAATTGGTTTATTATTTTATTATCTGTGATAATATGAACAGTTATTTTGAAGAAAAAAAGACATTATAAAATCCAGTGCTGATTTAATATCAGCTTACTCTGAAGTCCTACCATGCTTTTGTTCTTCTGTTTCCATTGGTTCTATCATAGTGTATCTTATTAGATTTTATCATGTGTGATACTATAAACAAATTTTCTATGGAAAATGAGATAATATAGTAGCCATTGTTCATTCTCTGTTATTTGGTTCTTTCATTCTCTGAAATAGTTTTATACTATTTTGTTATGTTTGATACTATTGTATATGAAGTTTGATACTACTGTATATTTCAAAGAAAGAGACATTATGGTAATTAATGTTAATTAAGGTTGGCTTGTGGTGAAATACTGTGTTGCTTACATTGTTCTGTTCTTATCTGCTTTGTTATGTCCTGTTTTGTCTTAACCTCTTTAAAATAAAAATTTAAAAAATTTTAAAAATAACACCAGGCAAGTTAGCCAATGTGGTTTGATAAGAGGAGAAAAATTGCCACAACCATTGTTGTTGAAGTTTCAACCATAAATTTGATCTCCTTGTATAATCAGCATTGATGCAAAAAATCAGCATCCAAGCAAAAACTGGAGGCCTCTTAAATTGAGATTGTTGTAGCCTAAAAGGAGTCCTTTGTTCCCTGGGGCAAAGGTGCATAAACCAGGAGGAATAGCTTGGTGCCCCATTTCAGGAACAAATCTGGAGGCAGGACTGAAATTCAAGCTTCCACTCTGTTTCTGGAGTCCAAGCCTTTAGCAATCAGAAACATACTTGGTGGTGGAAATTGTGGTGGGAGGAGGGGATTAGAAAGGGTGCCCCTACTGTTTAGCAGGGCCAGGAAATACCTTGCTGGAAGTTTTTTGGAATATGTCAGCCATTCTCATCAGTCTTGCATTAACACTTTTAGCTCAATGACATCCTTGTCTATACTTCAGATACATATTAGAAGGTTTCCTTTAAAGGGAAGATAGTGGTCGTGCTGCTCTTATAGCTGCAGCAGAGCAATTTTGAGCAACATGTCCCCTGAATCCATAGCAGAAATAAGTAACCTTGTTCTTTATCTTTTCTTTAGGCTGTGGATAAATAGCCTGAGTGATAGCTGCTGCCTAGTCAAATCCCTGAACATACAAGAGGCCAATGTCTATGCAAACTGAAATCAACTTGGACAGCATTTTTGTGGGCTTGTAAAGCCTCTTTACACCATTTATTTGCATTTTCAAAGGCCAGTTGTTGAACAATTAACTTTTCAGCCTCTATACTGTCAATAATCCACCCACTTGCCTGCAATAAGTGTGCCACAAAATCCACATTTCAGTTCATCAGAACCCTGGTGAACGAAGGTCAGATCAAGAGATGTCTCACGCTTTGAAGGAAGCTCCCTCCAAGCCCTTGTGGCAGCTATTTTAATTGGTTCATATGTTTGCAATTCCAAAGTTCATATTTGCAGAATTAAGGGCACCTCCTCCAGTTAACATGTCTTTTGTAGTGGCCATGCTGTGAGCATTATTGTAAGTGGCCTGATCCATGCACAACTCAAATAATTCCCTTCCACAATAAATAATTCCCAAGACTGAAACTCGCCTTAGCTATTCATTTCTAGTTATTTGGGTCCATATCTTGTTGTCTTATGAGCTCTATAAAACTCAAGGTAAAAGATATTGTGGGGCTATAGGTAGCAGTTGTTTGTTTTAGTTCTTTTAAGATTTTAAAGAGCACAGCTTCATGAGACATATAACTTGCCCCAGATTATTGGGATTTTGGGCTTCAACAGGGTAGACATGTTGAAAACCCTCCAGGAATTCTCTCTCTCTCTCTCTCTCTCTCTCTCTCTCTCTCTCTCTCTCTCACACACACACACACACACACACACACACACACACACACACACACACACCTGGCTACTTTTAGTGCCAGTGGCAAAGGAGAAAAAAAGTACAACACTTCTATGAAGGTCTTAGCTTGTGATGCAGCAAAACTTTTCCAAACTGAGAAAGCAGAAGTAGCTACTTGTGGCACAGCTAAGGTCATCAGTTTTGCTTTGGGTAGCTGTGAAACAGAAGTCACAATGAAGCACTTCTCTAGAGGAGGAAGGTCTTCTTTGCCCCCCACCACACCTTCCTTATCTGATTGAGCAAAGATAGAGGGTTAAAGTTCTAGTGGGGTGGAGAGCTGCTGCTCCACTATCCTCTTTCTGCTTGAGGCTTACTTTTAAGATAATGCTCCAAGTCACATCTCTGTGAATCTCAGTCATCAAGGTGCTCCCTGGTAAAGGTCCACAAACAAAAGCTAAATATGGGAATACACCACAGTCCCTCAGCAGTATACAATTGTTATCCTACACATTACTGTATCTCAGGGTTCACAATTTCTTGTTCTGGGAACCATGGAAATGTCTCTTGCACAAAGTTGAGAAATTCAGTCAGTTAAGAAATCTTTATAATCTGCTTTCATTAATAAAGCATGCATTTCTGTATACAGCTGTCATTCTCAAGAACCTGCTTGCCTAACGTTTTACACCCGATGATGGAATCAATATTTATGGCATCATATACCTCTGGGATCAATATTGATGATATGTATGGGACCAATATTGATGATATCAATGTACCTCCCCCTTTTGTGCACATAGCTAGAAGAGTTTACTCACTTGCTTTATGATGAATTTCCCTATTCCCTGGGTCCCTGTTCAGGCACCAAAAATGCCTTATCCAGCCCAGCTCTTGAAATTCCCAGGAAGAGGACAGTGGAAGATGAGGAAACAAAGATAAGTGTCAGAACACAGAAAGATGAGGTCACGTAGAGCCCCTCTCCTGGCAGGAGAAAAGAACTGCTCAATGACTACAATGCATTTATTTATACATGATTCAGGTGAAATTACTCACTTTGGGTACCTCCTGTTCTCAGAGCTGAAACAACTTGTTCGCCTGACTCACTTTGGGTGCTCTATATTCTCAGGGCTGGCCTTGCTCTAGTCCCCACATAAGACTGATCTTCAGCTTCAGCTGCTCCCTACAGGTGAGGTGGAGCTGGCAGCCTGCTCTAGTGACCAGAATTGGTTTGCTTATGAACAGCCCTACCTTTTCCCTGACTTAGGTGGAGGGGTAATAGTGCTACAGAATTTGTGCCAACAAAATTTTAGTAATAGAGTCTTCATGCAGACAAGCTGCCTAATATTGACTGAAAGTAAGGACACAGTGGGGACAGAGATTCATTGATGCCACAACACATCTTTGAAAAAAGGACAAAAGAGCTACAAACCAAAGATACATGAGAGATAGCTCCAAAAGATGGCAAAAACAGGGACAATGATTCTACCCTGGGAAACCCCATGGAACACAGCCTTGGTAACTATGGTCTCAGTCCAGCAAATCTGATTCCAACTTTACCTTCCAGAACCACAAGAGAATACATGGGTGCTGTATTAAGTTGGTCATAGTAAACTCATGCCTCCAACCACTCAGAAAAGTAACACAAAGACCCAATTGTACTGTAAGAGTTTGATTTTGAAAGGCCCGGCTAAAGAATTGATAACTGGAAGTTGCCTTAATTGTACCAAGGTAGAAACTGGACAGGTTTCCCAAAGTGGATCGTAAAACCTAGCTCTGCAGGGTAAAGTGGTCCCCCAATCCAGCTAATAGGGCATGGGCCACCAAACTCCCAGGTTGCCCTCTTAGCCTGAACTTCTCTAGGTCATTCTCAGACCCCATGCCTCATTTGAAGTACAGCTATCACCAAGGTGATCTCTTCCCTGGATCTGGCTCAGACTTATGAACTTTTGTGACCTTATCAGGTATGGCCTGCTTCTTGGGGGGCTGGGGTGAGGGCTGTTATTGCTTTGCAACCTCCCTGTACTCAAGCAAGGGTAACAGAATAGGTTGTAAAGCCAAAGTATTTTAGCACTAAAATGGCTGCTCTCCTTAAAAGGAGAAGAGAATTCTGTCTTTTGTACATAACTGTACTAGTTCCTGCTGCAGACAGTGAGAGGACAGTGACATATTAGGCTGTCTACAGGTCTAGCCATGTGAATCTTCTTACAAGAAGCTGGGCTCCCAAAGCATATTCCCAACCTCCTCTTGCCCTGCCCTGGTTTCAGAATACAAGTGCACTAGTTCTGGACATCATTATGGTAGGAGCAGCAACTGAAAGCATCTGCATCTGAAAATCTCCACTCTACTGGAGAAGAGGGTGAGTACCCGCTCCTTGCACAAAGGTGCAGGGGCCCAATACTGCATAAGATGTCCTGGAATAGCCCTGTACTTCTGACCCACCCACCGTGTACCATCCTATCTTTGTTACCACCTCTTGGCATCCACAGGGTCCTGTGAACTGGAATGATTGCCCCTTATACCCCTTCTAGGATGTTTCTGCTGCCCCTCGGTATTGTGCATGCTTCTATAAACCTTTTGCAAGTCACCAAGTGTGGGCAAGAAGATTGATTTGATTAGAGATTTTGTTATATGGGGTATCCCTCTTAGACTGTTCTGGGTTTGGGCACAGGGCTGAAATGAAGAGTACAGAGTTATGGCAAAATGATATGGCAGTGCTCTGCATGGGGAGGATTTCAGGAAGCCAGAGGCAATGATGGTGTTAGGGAAGCTGGAGTTTTAATTGCCTTTTGCCTTCTTACTTGTCCCTAACATTAGGCTGGATTCTGGAGACATCAGGCCAAGACAGCTGCTGGTGTAAGCCCACCCTTGGTCCTTTCCCTCCTAATGATGCAAGAGACAAGAAGTTCACACTTGAAATCCAGGGGCTTTGTGTTTATTAAGCAGATAAGCAGACCACAGGGGTCCCATCAGGTATGACTTTCTGTTGTGGCCAGCAAGGGGTTGGGAGAAGCAATACTGCACTATTAGGTCTTCTAGTTCTCCAACTGTCATGGCAGGTGGTTGGCTGGTAAGATGGTACCTTGCATGTGAGTGTCAGAATGAGCATGGGATGTAGACAGAGGAGACACCTGAGGGGAGAAAGCAAAATACAAATGGTTTGGGGCTGTGATTTGGAGTGGGGGAATGAAGAACAAAGGGAGAACTGAGACCTCCAGCCCAGCCCACCCTAGCCTCTTCTCAGCCCCCTGCCCTTAACCATACTCACTTCTCTTTCTCTTTCAGAGAAAATCAATGCACTGCTCTGTGGGGAATAAAGAAGACAGGACATCAAACCAGGCAGGGCCGTGTGTGTGTGAGTGCGTGCATGCGTGCGTGTCTGTGTGTGTGTGTGTGTGTGTGTGTGTGTGTGTGTGTGTGATCTCTGGCTTCCAGAACCCCTGTGGTACTTCTGGTTAACTCATACCATACTTGGCAAGCCCCAAAAGATCTGGAGTTTCCAAGAATTCGTATTGGCCCTATAGCCCAGAACCAAAGCTTCCAGTCTCTTTTCTGTTGATCAGGGGATGTAGGAGATGGTTCAGCACAATGCATACCCAGGTATTTAGAGTTTATGGCCCAGTATAACATAATCCAAATTAATGGAATGAGGTGGCCCATGAGAGAAACCCAACATATAGGTAGGAATTGCCCCAGGGGACAGAGACTGGAAGACTCAATCTTGGGCCTGAAATTGTTTTCTGGGCTAGTCTTAGCTACATTATCACAATGAGCAATTGGGACCAAGACTCATAAACACCAGAGTGGGAGACACTATGACTCCAGATACTAGATCAGGGGTCTGAGTCTTGCTTTTCCCTTTCCAGGTAGACAGCACCAGGCTACAAAAGACTGAACAACCCACTCCCCTCTCCCCACTGGACATTACCGATAGGGTCAGTGAAGATAATGTCCTTCTTAGTGAGGCCAAAAGATTTGGAAAATTTGAAGAAGCTCTTCTTCAATCTAGGACTCAGCTGCTTGGTTCTCCCTGTGGTCAAGGTATATGGTGAGTAGACAGCAGAGAGAGCATCAGAATTTTTTATAAATTTTCCCGAGACTGGGTCTTGATATGTTTGTAGCTCAGTCTGGCCTTAAACTCCCAAATCTCTAGCCTCAGACATATGAGTTCCAGGAATCAAAGGCATGAGGCACCCCTCCCACCTCACTCTGTGAATCATGTTGAATGATTGAATGAGGCCTCAGAGCCTTTCCCATGGAAGGACTATGGGAAAATCTCTCCCATGAAAGGGGGTTTGAGCTAGTTCAAAACTTGGTATCTTAGGTATAGGACCTTCCTCTTCAAAGGTTGCTAAGAGCCAGGTTTGTCAGGGGATGAGGTGGAGACCTACCCAAGAGGATGATTTCAATGTATATTCTGCTTTTATAAATGGTCTCCAGGAATATGACAGCAAACCTATCATAGTCAGTGGCTACCATTCTCACCATGTAGCTCTGTACTCCATCAAAACCTGCAATGTTGAAAGCAAGGGTCATTCCTGGTTTGGTCAGGAGGTAGGTACTGTCCCTCTGCTCTGTACCAAAGAGCAGGATGTCCCTCCAACTGAACATCATTTCAGCAGGGTCAGGGAAGCCTGTACCCTTCTGGGAGGACACTACGTACCAATCACAATCCCAGAGCCCCTCCTCAGTGAGGACTCACTTGTCATATTTTCCAGGGTGAATTGGCCAGGCAGTACAGTTGGGACAAAAGTTCTGAATGAGTGTTGGCAATCTTCTCCACTGTGGAATGAAGAGGCATGGAAATCTGAGCAGAGCCACAATACAAGTTTGGTCCCCTGAGCTAGACAAGGAGGGTGCAGGGCTCAGGTTCAGGGCTCAGGCAAGTTTCTGAGGCCCCAGGCCAGCTTTGCCCATGACATCCTGTCAGCCCTGTGGCTCAGGTTCCACCTGGCTCACTCCATTCCCTGGACATTCTTCTTTGAGATTCTGCCTGTCTGAGCAAGCGTTGCTAGATCCTCATGCTAGTACTCTGTGTCCCCTCTGTTGCCACCCCATTTCAGCCTGTCCAACACTCAGATATTGGACCCTGACCCCTACATTTATTTTGTTGTTCTCTTTCTCATCTCTGCTGTCAGTTTTCCCTGAACCTCCAGTGTGCTGTGTGACAAACACTAACTCAGCCCTTGGAACATATCTGCCCTCTCGCCTCCATCCACCCTACTCATGAATCCCAAATAGAACCCCAACTGCCTTGTGCTTCTTGCTTCATCAATGCTCCAATTATAATTCACCCAGTGAAAGAAGCCAGAACTCATGGCAATTGTCTGAGCCTGAGCTCCCCTTTCATTAACCTTATCTAACTAATACCTTACACTGGGGTTCTCCATAAATCATCTGTACAGCTGGGCCTTAAACATGGCCATTGCCCCCCAGTTCAGGCTCTGGCTCAGGGCATGATGCTCCCAGAGACTGGGCTGGGTGTGGTCCCATCTGACTGTTCATCAGTTCCTGGTCAAGTGCCCTCACAGATGTCTAGTTATTTTTGAGCCTCCCACAGTGAGGCTCGCTGACTCAGAATCCACTTGACCCAGCTAGGATCCTGAACCTTTTTTAGTTTTTTTTTTTTTTTTTTTTTTTTTAATTTCAGTGTGGGTAGTATGAATTGAACCACTGCAAATCACACTGAGCTGTCTCCTCAGCCTTGTAATTTCTAATTTTGATACAGATCATACAAAGTTGTCCAGTTTAGCACCAAATTACCAATTAACCTGCCTCACCCTCTGGGGCTTACCCTTCTAGAATTACATGAAGTTTGGCCCCTTTACTGTCACTTCCTTATAAGGCCTGAGATGAAGTCTTTGCCCTTAGGGATACCCTACATTCTCTCTCTCTCTCTCTCGCTCGCTCTTTCTTTCTTTCTCTCTCCCTCTTTCCTAATTTCTTCTAGAGCCACCCATGAAGACTGTTGGAAACAAAGAGGGAGAGAAGAAAGGATGGAGAAAGAAAGAACAGTTCAGGACACAATGGCTAGAAGAATTACAGTATCTGTTAGCTTTGGTCAACCCTCAGCTGTGACATTGGTCAGGCTCTAGAAGTGCTGGGATGTGGTCACTTTACCTGAACATAATGGAGCTCACATCATAGCTATGGTCATCTTTCAGCTGGAAGATGGTGCTGTACATATTTATCTGGGTTACATTTTCAAACCGCATTACATTGTCTGCCACAGCTATCGTGTACCACTTCCCCTGGAACTGAAAAGGGGTGGGGATCAATGACAGAGTCTAGTGATCGCCCTAGAGTCACCCCTCTAACCTTGTGTTTCTGGTAGCACTCAGGGGTTTTCTGGTACAGGTGGGGCTTCACAGAGAAACTGGCAGGTTATACAAACATGCGGGGTCGGGCCCTGCATGAAGATTTTTGTAGAATTGTTGATTATGAGATGGCCTTGGGAAAGGGCCTGTGGGTGTCCGCTAGAGTCACAGTATCCTCCTCTATGTTCAAAGACTGATGATGTCCCCACATGGCATGCATTGGGTCTTGACTCCCTAAGTCCTGCTCTTCTCACCCAAACAGCCCCTGAGTCACTTGGCCTCTTCCATATGCTACTTCTTTCCTTGGCCCCACACTAGTGCAGGTACCTTTCCAGTGACTTACCTGGTCATCCTGGAAGTTAGGTTTCAGGGGAACCTTGTACAGAGATGGTTTCATGGGCAGAGCTGGAGGGGGATCCTGAGCTTGGGCTTGTAGGATCCCCAACAAGGTGAAGCCCAGACACAGGAGATCCAGGGTCATGGCTTCTGTAAATCTCCTAGGCTGGTGTGCAGAAGAAAAGTAGTGCTGAGAAGCTTAATTTTGGGAAACTATTAATGGACCTCTGACTGTTGCCCTCCTAATCGTTGGCTAGTTCACCTTTTGCTAAATCCAGGAAGGTTGACCAATGGCCTGCATCTATCCTGAAAACATATGGTAAGTTACCTTCCCATTCCCCCTGTCAGCATTGTGCAATTTAGAGAGAGCAGAAGGTGCCGGGGGACATTCCCAAAACTCCACAGTGCTGGAGGGAAATCTCTCCATCTCCATGCTCACTGTGCCTCTTCCTTTCCTCTGACTGGTCCTTTCTGGGTGTCAGCAGCATGGCTAGAGAGGCTGTCATCTTTGACCCTGGGTGCCTATGGTGGATTTGTCTGTACAAGGTCCCCTTCCGGTATTTGCAGAAAGCACAAAATGTCCCAGGCATGGAGTCATTCACCTGCCATCCCAACCTGTGAATTCTGTGCCAGCCCAAGCAACATAGTGAAAAGACTAGCCTCAAGTGAAGAATGAGGCTCTGTTTAGAAGAAATGACGTAAAGACTCCCTGTGATACTTTTCAGTTTAGTAAAATTAGGCAAGAGCAGTGTAGCTGACAGTGAACATTCTGGACAGGGAAGGACACAGGGTTTACCTTGAGCCTACTGAGCCCAGATACTGGCCCTCACAGGAACCCTGGGGTAGGTCCTTACATAGTTGAGTTGCACCGAACTCCTTTCTTTCCCCCACATATGTGCCCCATTTCCCAGAGGGACACAGTACAGCATGGCACCATCAGTGATTTGGCCTCTCCTATAAGCACCCTATGCAGATGTGTAGAAAAATACATGGCGTATAGATGTGACAGTATGACGGGATAGGGTGCTGAGGCTCAGGTCCAACTCACATGAGAGTCTGGACTACGGCAGCAGGAAGGGCAGTCACTCACCTGGACCAAGTCTGCTGTACTCTATTACTAGTACAACCGTTGATTTGGATCACCAGGTGTCAGGATTTGATGTTGACCTGAGAGTTCTTAGGGAGGGATACTCTGGCCTCAGTGATGATGGGCAGGGTTGTACCTACCAAGGGACCCAGAGCCCAGAGGATCATAGAGCCTTTGTCTTGTGACCTTTGTCCTACCTGATGGCCACATTGCCACACATCCTGAAACCCATGAGACATGATTCTGACAGCCATGACGAAGGAACAAGGAGTGATTGCTCTTCTGGCCAAATATCTGTGCTATCACATCCTGTCCTCAGTAGCTCACCCTGCCTCTAGAAAACTGATCTGGGCTTCCTGAATGTGGGGATCTAGAGAGGCCATGCCAGTCCAAGGTCTAAAATCTCTGGGGATTTTTCTCGACATCATTCTCTACTCCTTGTCCATCTTACTTCCTCTCACTCCTTTCCTTTTGGCCCTAACTGTTGTTTTTAGTGGTGTTCATGGTAGGGCCAGATACTGCTCATATGCTGTCATTTTAGAAGCCACACTGAGAGCAGACTGTAGTCCTGAGATGCAATCAAACACCAGGAGACCTCTTCTTTCTCTCCGGTAGATTACACTAAGTTTTAGATAGCCTGCCACTAAGAACAGCCACGTAGGTCTACCTCCAGGGAGCCCCTTGAGGATTGGGGTCAGAACAGCCAGAAACCTGACTTCTGCTCACAGAAAACCCATGCATCAACCTTAGCTGTCTATAGAGGCTGCTAAGAAGATACAAAGTAGGACTCAGAGCCCTGTATAGTCTCCTCTCAGCAGTGCCTTTGATGTAAAACTTCTGCATGGCTTACTGAGGGCCCCTGGGAGACCTGCAGCTCATACACATACAGTTTGGGAGCTGGTGTGATAGCTTGCAAGAATAAGCCAAGATCACCATGGAAATGAGCAAAGAGGCCCAAGGGCTATGAGTAAGTTTCTGGTGTGTCAGTGCACAGTTCCATACATGCTACAGAACTTTGAAGTGCCACAGATCTTGGCAGAGTAGGTTTTGGAGTCCACTAGCTAGCCAAGTGCCCCGTGTTAAGGGAGTAGGTAGAGACAAGAACTTTGTCTGTACTATCTACAGTGGATCCTGAGCACTGGCCCAGGGATCATCAGGACAACAGCACCGTGGTCCTCACTCAACCCCTGAGTGCTGAGTCACACAGCTGGTGTGTGGAGCTTATACTCTCCCCATAGTCTTATCACATTTAGGGGAGATTTATGGAAGATCTGTCCCTTCGAACCTGGCTACAAGACACCTGCATTCCCAAGGCAGGATGCTGGTATCAGGATCCCTGAGACAGCTTAGAAGTACCTGCATCTTCTATTTTTCCAGTGCTAGATGCCAAGGTAGTTTGGCTGGAGGCTGTTCCTTCCCTCTACCTAGATTCATTTTCCTCTGCTTCCCTCCCCAGTTCCATACTTATAGACTTTGCACTTACTTCTGTGTTGTCCCTGGTGATCTAGGTTCTAATCTCTAACTATCTAGCATCCTGTTTCCTCCATTCCACTCCAACATGACTGCAAGGAGTTAGTCAGCTCTATGTCCATATCTGATGATGCCAATTCAGAGGCCACAGTTTACTTTTGAACAAGGGAGAAGGGATCATGTGGGTAAGATCAGGGAAGTATAATTCTAGGCTCATTTCTAACATTCACATCTCCCACCACTAGCCATCTAGAGGATTCCATGGTTTCTGCCCCAACTCTCAAAGCTACAAGCCTGCAGCTTCCATTTGAGTAGTCCCCCACTTCTCTGGTTTTACTAGGAGGGCTCCATCCAGTGTTGAACCCCATATGCTAAAGCCCAGACTCTATTTACATAAAGACTTACTTTGGTGTTTCTGTCAACCTGTCTGTGAATTATCTCCAATGTAGTGTGGCCTCCATAAGTCCTGTAAATCTACTTCAGGTTCTTCTATGGAGTAGTATGCACAGAGTGAACATTTCAAAAGAAAGAGCAACAAACACTAAGAGCTGTTAATATCTAAGAGCTTCAGACACATCAACCCATGCAGAATAGCTGCAGAGATCAGCTATGGTAGAGTAAGCCTACAATAGTCAGTAAAAGGCATCACAAGACATTAATGGCCATCAGATTGAAGTGGGAACCATTATTAATACCATATGATGACATTGAGACTGCTAGCAGACCTGCCTATTTGAGCAAAAGTACACAGCCTGATTGTGAACTTCCCTAGTGAGACTAATTCAGCTCCAGCTCAGGCTCCCGTTGGCAAGCATCGGTGACAGTGTGGTCTGGGCTCTATCTCAGTCATGACCATGATGGTTTCCAGATACTTCACACCTAGATCTGGTCTGAGACACAGCCCCTTTGGAGTACAAAGCCTCACTGGTCCTCATCTTGTTTTCTCAGTCCCTGTAAAATTCTCTTCTATAAATCCCAATTAGAGCTCACTAGAGTAACAAATTTAATATTATAAACATCTACAGAGAGATAGATCTCTATTTAGATGTGGAATTTATAAAGTAAACTTACAATGACCGTCTGTAGAGGCAGGTGTGGAAGAATATAAAAGAGCTGTCTCCGTGCTAGATAGCTGGATGATCCAGTCAAAGGTGGATGATCTGGAGCTCACTGAAGAATTCTGTTGAATTCTATATCTGGAAGCTACTGTCTGCTTTGGAAGACTGAAGGGTCTGCTCTGGAAGCCTGGAGATAGATGTGCAAAGCAGATGGTGAAGACGAGCTCCTGCAAATGGCAGAAGTGAAACTTCCTTCTACATTTCCTTTTTATTTCATCCAGGCTACAAGCCTATTGGTTGTTGTCATCCACACCTGTGAGTCCATCATCTACACCAGAACTCTGCTAAGCCAATCAGATGGGTATTTCAACTTGACACCACAGTTAACTTTCACAGTTCTGACCTCCATGCCTAGATTAGGATTAAAGGCTGGAAACAGCTTGTGAAAGGAGGGTAATGAGATGTCACTGGGTGTGAGCAAGGGAAACACCAACAAAGGGATGACAATAGAGCTCTAGAGATGAGGACAGAGAGTCTGAGACAGTTCTGCTATCAGTACAGAAAGAATAGGCCCTGTACGGATCTCCTCCCTACACTCACCAGCTCTGACCACTCCTAACGTCAGGAGAGACAACGCATCTATTGCTCTGGGGTCCAAGGACAAATGAATTCTGGTACTCAGGTTGCTATGCAAGGCTGTGTCTGACTTCCTTCAACTTTCTTTTATGTTTTTCTTCTTAAAAACTTTATCCATCAGTACTAGTTATTGAAGTTAGGCCTTCCCATTGAACTATATTTTCAGCTCTTGTTTATTTTTATTTTTTTTTATCTTAAACAGAGTCTTGCTAACCTGTCCAGACTTAGCTCCAACTTGCAATTCTCCTGCTTTCACCTTCCACAGAGCAAGTATTAAAGACTTTTACCAGTTTCCCAACTTGAATATGTTTTCAGATTCATAGAGATAGTAGAGGTAGAGCCCCTAGTGATAGCAAGGCAGAGGGAGAGTATACTAAGACCATGACATCCTCTGTTGGACGCAATGTTGATCAGCTTCCCTTCCTGCATTTTCATCATCCTACCTCAGTGAATGGAGTACAGGGGAGAGTTGTCTCCTGTATATAGGTTGAACCTATACTCTGCACACCAGCTCAGGACAGTATACAAAGCAGCCAAGTGCAGCACACATAGCACCAGTTGCCTGTACCACATTGCTCCTCTCCTAGGATCCAAATTGACCCAAGATTGCAGACTCACCAATCAGCTAGGTCATGTGGCCACAACTGCAGCCCCTATTCCTGGCTCAAGATTTCTTACCCGCTGGGAGCACAGGAGAATTATTTATGAATCTCACAGTAAAAGCCAAGTCCCTGAGGGCCCCCTGATGTTCATTCTGATCCTGCAAATGGAACCTGAGCTGTGGGTTTGTGGAAGGATTCACAGAACTTTACTCTGCTCCAGGGCCTGACCTGGGGCTCCTGTGAGGCCCAGGCACTGGGCTGAGCAGATTCAGAGCAGATATCCTGTCCTTGCCACTCCAGAATGTCCAGTGTCTGCTGTTGTCTCCTCGCATGAACTATACAGTAACCAATAAACCACACAAGGCTTGTGGAAGCAGAGAGTCCTTTGATTTTCATTTCTTTAACTTTTTCCTACCTTCCTTCTTTCTTTCTTTCTGTTTCCTGGAGGTTTTGTGTGTGTGTGTGTGTGTGTGTGTGTGTGTGTGTGTGTGTGTGTGTGTTTGAAATATGTTCTTGCTATACAGTTCAGGCTAGCTGTAAACACAGTATGTAGTCCAGGCTGGCCTGAAACTACAGTCCGGGATTATAGTTGTGCGCCACTATGCCCAGTGCATTTCTGGCTTTCTCCAGGTACAGTAAGGTCAATTCAACATCCATACACCCACCCGGACACACAAGGACATCAATTACCGGGTGTTTATACCTAACCTTCTGACTTGCAGACAGGGAAAATCAGATGAAGAGAAGAGACACAAGAGCGCTCAGAGGGACACTTTTCCCTGGCAGACTTTGGAGTTCTGGGTAAATTCCTCTTGTTCCCTGTCACCTTTTGTTCTCTTTACTTTGCACAATCCCGACCAGGGACAAATGACCTGTTATCTCTCTTATTTCTGAAACAGTTGCCAGCAATTTTCTTACTCTTTATCGATTTATTAGAGGGAGGATCTGTCTACTACACTGGGAAAGCAGCCAGCTAGGTGGCCCATAAATAGCTCCCCTGTGCTGATCACCTCAGCCATCTTCTTTCTCCTACAAAATGTGTTAGGATAGTAGCTGCTCTAAAACCTTGGGTGCTGGGTCTCCTGTGGCTGGGTCTCACACTGCTTGGAGCTTTGCAGACCCAAGTCCATGAATCCACATCATCCCTGACCCCCAGAACAACTTGAGCAATTTCCCTTGTGGTCACACTACTAGGTTGACCAGGAAAGGACACTGGAAGGATGCAGGGAGGGTCCTAGAGACAGAGACAGTGGGAACAGAGTGAGAGGCAGAGGGACTCAGGATGGTTTTCATGGTAGAAGAATGACTCAAGGTTTCAGACCATGCCTGATGGGGACATCTTCAGTCCCACTACACAGACTGAAAAAGTGAGACTCTTAAAGGCTCCCAAACACTTAATTGCCCAGGGTCACCTCATCCCTGACAACTTAATACTAACTCCTCACCTAAGGACTCTCCTGGCCTTGGAGGATCTCACCTCCTACCAGCTTCTCAGGACAGAACCATCTCTAGATCCTGTTACTCAGAGTGACACACTGAGATAACAGCAAGGACAATATGAGTAGGGAGGTTCTGGGGCAAATGCTGGCCTCTCCCTCTTCAGCCCCGTGCAGTTCCAGGGGAAGTGGAAGAGGCAGAGCACACATTTAGAGTAGGAAATAAATCCAGTTTGACATGTAGGGCAGAGCTTCAGTCATGAGCGGAATAATGACCATAGGTACAAAAACACCTCCTCTCTGGTTCAAGGAATCTTCCACCTTCTGGGCTTCTAAGAGGCATAGTTATGTCAGTGTCAGGGAGACCAAAATTGAGGGATAACATCAGTCATCTCATTGCCCTGGAATAAATCAATATTCGTCCATCTTTTCCTTCCTCTTTTCTTTCCCCATTTATTCTCCTCTTCCCTCTTTCCCTTCCTCCTTCCTTTCTTTGTTCTGCCTTTTCCTCCCTCCATTCCATCACTATTCATGTACAAACACACAGTGAGTAGGAAACAAGGCAGATTATGGTGTCCCAGAAGGGAAAGAAGAACCCTGGACCCATTCTAAGACCACGTGTAAGGATCATGTGGACCTGTAGGAAAGTGACCTTAAAGGAGCCAAACTTCCTGTAATCCTAGCAGGCTCATCACCAGAGGCTGTGGCAGGAGTATTTCAAGTTTGAAGATAGCCAGGACAAATTAAGCAGAAATTGTCTCAAAATAAAAAAAAAATAAAACCAGATGTGGTGATGTCACCCTAAGATAAAAGTTGGCCTATGATTCCTGCAAGAGCTAGTATCTGGGGACAACTGCAGCAGCATAGGTGGGGAAAACCCTGAAATTAAAACCTGAAAGTTCCAGGAAGAAGATGACAGAGGTAAATCAGATGACAACTCTTGACAGGGAACATGGATCATTCACTTGCTGCAGTTTCTAACTACAGTAACTGGGAGAACTGGGGTTGGAGAGCTTGAGGATTGAGAGGAATAGGAAGTCGAATTTGAGGGTTAGCTCTAGATTCAGGGGCCAAAATGCTGGGGCAGTGCTTGGCATGGAGCACACTGGAAGCTCAGAGGAAATTTCAAGAGAGATGGGAGACAGGAACAGCAAGATAAGAAAGAGCATGAATCAGTGCCTGAGGTCTGTGAGTATGACAGGCTACCTAAGGAAGTTAGTGGAAGAGACAGTGAGTGCTGAAGGGAAAGTCAAGCATCCCCTGTAGCAGATGAGGTAGAGACACTGAAGGGAAGGCCCAGGGTCATGGGGTGAGCTGGGAAGAGCTAGTGCTATGGTTGGGGAGGAGCATCAGGCTATAGGTTGTGCTGGACTAGGCCTTCATGACCCTGCTGCTGCCCTGGCCTCACTTTACCAAAGCCAGGGAGACAAAGATCATGTTATCTCTTTGCTCTGTCCTCACCTTCTCTCATTCTCATATAGTCCAGCTCTGTGAACATCATACCAGCACTTTTTCCCCAAATGTTCAGACTCTGCAGTTTATCCTGGATAAAGAATACACAGGAGTTTTGTGTGAGGGGCATCCTTGTCCCTCTAGATGCTGTTTTGTGGAGAGATGCCCCATACTGACCAGTAGGGAAAGAAGGGGACATTCCTTTCTCTCCAGCAAGGGCAAAGATTTGCCATTTCCACTGCTGGTTCCCATGGACTACAGAATGATTACAAGCAGCTGCAAATTCCAGTCAGTTTGCTATACTGTTGGCCTAAAAGATAACAGGAAACAAGTTGTTTTTCTAGACCATCTTCAGTAGTAGGTGCTTTGGGGCCCTAACTTCTCTATCATGCTCCAAAAACTGGATTCAATCCCCAGTACTGGCAAAAAAAAAGTAAACAAAGAAACACAAATGGGGGGTGGAAGCCCTATCTCCAGAGATCCCAACATTTCTCCACTTCTAGCTCCCTTTGCGAAGGAGGTCTTTTCACATCCTCCATAAGGAAAAGTATGAAGTTTTATTCACTCATTCAACAGTACTTAGGGATTAAGTCAGGTTTAGTAGTGTACATTGCCAAGTGAGCACCCAGAAACAAAGCAGGAGGATTGCAACCTTAAAGTCATCCTGCAGTACACAGTAAGGCCACCTTTTATCCCACTCCTTGGATTTGTTCTCCTGGGCCACCTACTGTGCCATTTCCCCATCCCCCAGAAGCATGCTAATTCCTGACATAGGAGATGTCATAACTTACTGTGGCCTGTGTGAGCAGTAGGTTCTAGCCAGGCCAATCTGGGCCAGAGTGAGGGAATGCCTAGTCCAGACTTGGTTCCTAAGCAGCAATTAACCCTGAGGAGCCCATTTTGGGCTGTGAATTGACAGAACATCAAATTTTCTGCAGCTAGGCTAAGTTAGGCCTGAGGAAATCGGGTGCTCTATAAAGTCCCTGGCACCACACACACCACACGCACACACACACACACACACACACACACACACACACACACATCTGCTCTGATGTTTT